CGGACGGGGGGGGGGGGGGAAATGTTAGGAAACCATACAGGGTTGTGTGTAATACTCTAATTAAATGATGTAACATTGGGAACTCAAGCCATTGTAGGGTTCAGTTCACATATAGTTTCTTCTTATGAAGGAGCTCCCACTAGTGGTTATGATGTAAACACACTAAATATTAAAGGGAATGTTTTGTGTTCTAGCAACAGCATTCTGGTTATTGCAGTTTTTTTTTAAACTCCTAGTTATTTTTGTAAAAACCACCCAGTAATCACATTTGCACTATTGCACTTGCAATAAAAGCCTATGAGGCATATCTGCATTTGGTGTTTCTGCATAGCACCTTTAAAGTTTTTTCACTTAAATTTATATCTATAAAATAATAAACATTTATTAATTATAATTAAATTAATAATAATAATAATAATATATATATATATATATATATATATATATTAATAATATATATGTTTCCCTTTTATTAGTTTGTTAGTATAATAATAACTATTATTATTATTTGTATAATAGTTAATATATTAGTTATTATTGTTGTTTGGGATTAATAATAATAACAATAATACATTTGCAGCTCAGTTCAGAATAAAAAGAACTGAGAAGTGAGAAGGACAGAATATTAACAGTAAAATAACTTTTTACAAAATAACAGCCATGCCACTGCTGAGTACACCCTACCCAGACGGACACCACCTCTCCAGCCTAAGTCCGTCATGATGGAGACGTACCAGTCGTTGCCAAAGACCACTCGCCACCACTCCGGAGGCAGTTCCCCACCAGTGCCCCATAACCTGCCTAGTGACTATAAGTATGCCCATGACCGTCTTAGTCACTTCTGTATGTCCACTGACGAGCGCTTGGCCACTAAAGAGGGCATGGTGTGGCAGCTGTATGAGTGGCAGCAGCGCCAACAGTTCCGCCATGGAAGCCCCACTGCACCAATCTACACCGGGCCTGACTACATGGACACGTCTGCCTTCAGAGTTACTCTGGAAATGCCACGATCCATATCTGTGCCCCCATCACCATGTGACATACCCCCACCCGGCCACCCCTCCAGGTCCTTGTCCCCACGCAGGCCCCACATGCCCGCCGACAGGGTGATGGTACGCCCACTGGATGACTTTGCCACCGTGGACACTCCCAGTTTGGGTTCTCCCAGAGGAATATGTTCCCAGATCTCAAAGGTAGGGAACGTGGAGCAGTTCACATAATCTCACAATTTTAAATTAGTTGTGGTGAGTTCTTCTCTTTGTTCAGACCACAGAAGTGTAGACCACCAAAAGCGTTAAGGGTTATGGGAAAACCGAGTTTCCCTTTACTCAAGCTTTGATTTGGACTTTGTGACAGGATTCACACAGTCTTCACTCAGGGCTTGACTCCCAGGTGCAGAGGGTGTGTTAAAAGAGAACGTTTTTGTTTATGTGTGTTGCTGAAAATGCTTGTGTGACAAATAGTAGTATCTGCCAGCTACACCACCCACATGAGAGCGCCGCTCCCAGTGCCACATTCACACGCAGCAGTCACAGAAGACTCTGTGCCTCTTACAAGTTAACATACTGTCACTACCATTTCTGCTCTGCATACGTCAGGACTCGTGTGAACTCACTAATTACATGCCTCCAACAGAAAGATTCACAGAAGCTGTCAAAAACCAGATAGAAAGAAAAAACAGACCTTCAATCAATGTGCAGTGATACCACAAAGAATATACAGCACAACTTAAAAATCTAAGATGTTAGTGAAAATGCTTTCATTATTGTTTTGTTACCTGTTATATTATCAGCATAACTAAACAATTGACCAATTAATTGCATTTTTAATAGCATTCATTGCTATTGAATTAATTGATTTTAATTGCATGTATTTTTTGCATGATGAATAGCATGATTTGAGAATGATTAAAGAGAAAATGTTAAGTTCGTTTGAATTTTCTGTTTGTCAAAGAATCCAGAAGAAAAAAAAACATGACAGTTTCCACAAAAATATGAAACAGAACTGTTTTCAGCATTGACAATAATAAGAAATATTTCTGGAGGATCATGTGACACTGAAGACTGGAGTAATGGCTGCTGAAAATTCAGCTTTGTCATTACAAATATAAATTACATTTTAAAATATATTAAATTATAAAGCCTTGGTAAACATAAGAGAGCTCTTTCAAAAACATTACAAATCTTACCAATTATATATACATTAAATTTAATAGGGAAACGATCTATTTTAGGAAGCTTGTGAATTTTTTTTCCTGCATTTCAATCACTTTTTGCTTTCAAGTTTAAATTGTTCCTCAGTATGACTTTTTTTAACACATACTTGTAATTCAAACATTTTTAAAAGTATAGATATTGGAGATGTTGCAGTCTCTCAGTGAATATAAAGTCATAAGTACTGCATGTATAAAATTAGAAAAAGAATAAGAAATGTTGTTTTCTAAAAGAAGGTTTTGGATAAACTATATATATCACACAGCAGGACACACTGTCACTGATTTGGGATGTTGACTACCCAGTTGCAGATGTCTATCTATGCATCGTAAAGACTAGAGGGTGTTTCATAGCACTGTTGAGTTTGTGTGTTTCGTAGAGAGTGTTTTCATTGCTGTTGTCGTAGAGCATATCTCTGTGGAGGAGATCTAGACTGTTTAGCTGATAAGGTTCGCCAAAGGCTAAGCAAAGCGCCCAATAAACCTCCTCAGCAGTGGTCTCTTTCTTCTGATCTTGTATTTAAATAAAAAACCTATTATACAGCAAAAATGCAATACCGTGGGATTCGCATTGGAAACAGTCTACAGTGCTACTCTGCTGGTAGCTAACAAATGTTATTTTAAGAAAGCAGGTTGAAGATAATTTATGTGTAGTTAATTAAATCTCTTGTTGTTTGTGTCCTTTTGAGGTGCTATGATAGGCCTAGATGAAGAATTCTGTATGTTAAGCAAAACTGTCAAACTGTCAAAGCCCTGTGGCATTTTTTAAATCAAGCATACTAGTTTCTTAGCTAAGATAAACAGATGAATGGGTAAAATGTGCTCTGCTGAGCCCTAGTTTTGTGCTAAACTTTGAAACTGACTTTTACTTGACTTACTTATTTTACTTAAAAATGTACAGTATCTATTAACTAAAAGAGGGAATTTGAGAATGAACTGTGATTGTCTTCATTTTCATTGTAAACGCCACCATTCTTTGTATATTTGTGTCTTCACAGACCTCACAAATAGAGAGGAGATCCATGCCAACAATGGGGTACATCACGCACACAGTCAGTGCACCTAGTCTGCATGGAAAAATGGTAAGACTTCTATTGAGAGCAGACTTTTTCAGATGAATTACCTAGGAAACATAGGAGATCTGCTTGGCAGATGACATTTTGGCCACGAGGAGATTTTTGCTTATTTGGTTTTGAGACAATGAGTTGAGCTATGTCGTTAAAGACTGGCAGTCACAGTTCGCCTTAGTCCACTTCTATTGGCCAAATTTCACCTTCATCTTGGCGCCGCCCTGGTGGTCACCTCCTGAAGTGCTTTCTCTCCCATCTCCCCGCTGTCCTGCAGCTGGAGGAGTTGACCCTGCTGCTTATCCAGCTCAGGAGACACCGGGCCAAGATGGCCAGCGTGCGCAGCGACACATTCACACACCTGCAGAACCAGCACAACGGTCTCTCAGGCCCCAGTTTGCAGGTTAGAGGGTCACATTCTCCCCTCAGCCCATCCTGAGCCCCCCTCCCATCTGAGCAAATCATGCCCTCCTTTCCCTAACTCCCATACCGTGGCCATCTTACGATCGTATGCTGTTGGTTCTAGTTATGATTGCGTTGGTTTGGTGTTAGCTCTCCGTTAGCATGGAGTCGAATATGTTAAGGCCTGGGCTGCATAATGTGACGTAACAGCCTGTTTTGTGTTTTTGAAGATCTTTTCTTCTACGTTTAGCTTTTATTTGTACTTTTATTTTTAGTTTCTTCCACTATTGTATTTTCGATTGTCAGATTGCTCCTCAGTTAACAGCATGTTGCTTGTTGACTTGCCTGCATTCACATGATTGAATGTTTTCATGAACAGAAAACGTATTGAAAACATCACTGGTTTACTTATTTATATGCAGTTTTGGATTTGAAAAGTCAGAAAAGTACCCAAGAATTAAGACATAAGCTGTGACCCATTCCACTCTCTAGATCTGTCAGTTACAGGGTTGTACACTAAAACATAACTACTAGTCTACACAGTTTACAGCATTGTTGTAAAATACTTAATTGTACTTTACAATTAAGTAAAACTACCACAGTGCATCAGTTTTAGAGTCCAGATTGAAGTTTAGGGACATTCAGTGGTCTTCTCAAATACTAAATTGCCAGTCATTTTGCTTGTTGTAAATAGGAACAACAGCAACAAAACAAAAAAACAAGTATTATGAACACTACTGTTCAAAAGTTTGGGATCAGTAGGTTTTCTTTAAATGTTTTTGAAAGATATAACTGATAAATCTTTTATTTGATCAAAAGTACAGTAAAAACAGTAATATTGGGAAATATTATTGCATTTTAAAATAACTTTTTTCTATTATAAATTCAAATGTAATTTATTTCGGTGATGACATACCTGAATTTTAAGCAGCTATTATTCCAGTCTTCATTGTGGCACGATCCTTAGAGAAATCATTCTAATATGCTGATTTCCTGCTCAAACATTTCTTATTGTTATCAATGTTGAAAACAGTTGCTTAAGTAGCTTTTGGAAACTGTGATACATTTTCAGCATTCTGTGGTGAATAGAAAGTAAAAAAAAAAAAACAGCATAGAAATGTAAAACTTTTGTAGCATTATTTTGTAACATTATAAAAATCTTTATTGTTACTTTGGATCAATTTAATACATCCGTGCTAAATAAAAGTAATACTTTCTAAAGTTAAAAAGAAAAATTACCGCAAACATTTCAACTGTAGTGTATTTATTTATATTTTTTAAATAACTATGATGTTAATTATCATAACTCAGAGTGATGAATGACTTGTCAATCACATTACATGCACTTGCACAATGTGTAATACTGTACCAGCATTTGGATTTACAGTGCGCATGAAAATCAGTCTCAGTCTTGCATGCTGTACTCTCAACCATGTGTCATGTGACCTCTTTCTTCATTTCCCATTTAAAGGCAGATGACACTTACATCAAGCTGAAGAAGGACCTGGAGTATCTAGACCTGAAGGTGGGCTCTAGTGGATCTGCCTTCACCTTCCTCCTCCTCTCAGCTTCTCCCCCTTTCTCCTCAAGGCATACATTCTTCCTGATTTTGCCCCGCTCCTTATTCTCTATAACAGCTGCTCTGCTCTCTAACCCTGAAGGATGTGTAGAGTTAATTTTGAAATCGATGATTAAATACATTTACACCAGTCAATATTCACGGAGAGCAATGTGTGATTTTAAGCTTTTACTGCTAAAAATACGATTTTATGCTGCAATTTAGCAATAAAAGTCTTTGTGGCTACTACGTGGATGTAGTGACTAGTGATGGTTCACAGGAGGAGATTTTGACAATTGAAGGTCACATGAATGCTAGAATCTGATTCTGAATTGTTTTCCCTATGTGCAGTGGCATCAGTGGCCTTTATTGCTCTTATATAGACTTTTCTGATCCTGTTTGATATGGAGCACATTACTTGCTATAATTATTCATTCATCATTCAAATGTATACATTACCTAAATTTATACCCACAGTTCACAAAAACCCTTGTATCTTCATTTCAAACAGATGAAAAGTATTGAACCTCTCATCTATTCGGTACCCAGTGCATTCTGTCTGAATGTAAGGATCGTGTGCGATGTATACATTGCCTAAATTTATACCCACAGTTCACAAAAACCCTTGTATCTTCATTTGAACCTGAAAAGTATTGAACCTCTCATCTATTCGGTACCCAGTGCATTCTGTCTGAATGTAAGGATCGTGTGCATAACAAAATGTGACCACTTCATGCCTTCACCTGCTGTAGTGATGTAATCCTCCCTGGACCGTTATGGTTGTGTGCCTTGCACATGCTCTGTAGAGTCATACCCATGTGCATGTGCTATTTTGACCGCTTAATTGTTTTAGTTTTTTTTCCAAGGATGCCCAATTTTGTTCTTTTGGTAAGATATCAATACTGCTCTGATGAGGGATTGTTATAGCAATTGCATTGCAATTGTGAACATTATGTAAAGGCTGCGCTAATTATTTTGTTAAGGAGACATTAAGACATCCATGAAATGACATTAAGCATCAAGGAATTATCCTAGAGTCTGAGGTTTTCTGTTAATGAGTGAACGTTTCCAGACAGCTGCTCTTACTTATACAGTATCCTTTAGCTAACCCCTGTTTATCACTAAATGATAGTCTTTCAGTGGGTTACAGCTTGTCGTAGGCTTCACTCCCACATGGTTCATGTCAAGTTCACCACTGATGAAAAGTATTGATACTTTGCCAAATCAAGAGCAGCACTTTGGGTGGATCATTGCGGCTATCCCCAAATTCCCCAGTTGCTGTTTGTACATAAACACATCGCAGAGCTTCCAAAAACAGCGTTGGTTTATTTTGTTGTTGTTGTTGTTTTGTTCATCTCGACATATTCTTGTTCTTTTAGTTTGCCAAAGCACAGTTTGTTTACATGATTTCAACAACCCTTTGTCAATAGGCTGTGCAGTCTTGATGGTTGCTTGATCGATGCAACCTTACAGCTTCTTAGTCTTGGTGTTGATGCTAATGTCTTTGAAAGTGTATGAGCTTTTGCATTTTGTCAACAGGTAACTGGACGTGAATCGCTTAAAGATCGACCACCTCGGCCTGTTAAAATAGCTGAAAGTGACATAGATGTAAGTTCTGCTCTCTATTTATTAAAGCCCAATTTCTGACCCTTGTCTCCCCTCTCCATCGCTCTGTTTGCTTTTCACAGAAAGCTGTTAGTCAAGCCTGAATTTGTGCAAGTAAACACAGGCATCGGAGTGAGGCAGTGGTACACGCTGTGGGGAGAAGCAAACTCTCTCTGTGTCAAGAAGAAATTGAAATGATTGACGAGGGTTTTTTATATTCAATGCTCAATTTAAAGAGAAAAATACATGCAATGGGAGTTTTATACTTTGGCCTTAAATTTTTCAGTTTGATTTTTGTATTCCAGTGCTCTCACTGTTTTTCGTTTGATTGGAGGTAAATAATCTGGAAGTCCCTAGCTTTTCATCATTAACATTGTTTCAGTTTAACAGTTTATAAGAATTTTGTTGGTGGATTTATCTGCATGATGAATATTTAATGTTGTTAAAACAACAATATATGGCTGTAAAATAATAACAGCTTAATAATTAATTGGAGGGAATGATAAACAGAGCGGAGAATATGAAGAAGACTATAAACAAGACACTTCTGCAGCTTCTGTTTCTCCTGCACGCGCACACGTTACCCTAACTAATTTTTCACTGAGAAAATGCTGTTTGTTTCGGCAAATAATGACACCAGAATTGTCTTGGGTGCATGGAGTTTATGCTTATGAATATCTTCAATAGTAGGAAATGTTGAATATGGAATAGCGGAAGAATGTATTCTGTCGGCGCTCTGTTTGATATGTTTGTATGCTTTAATGGATTCAGTTCAGTCATGACTGGTGACCATGTTTTATTGCTGCTTGTGATTGTCTCTTCAGGTAAAGCTTAGTAGGTTATGCGAGCAAGACAAGGTCCTACAGGAGCTGGAGGCCAGGATACGCACACTCAAAGAAGATAAGGTGCTTTGTTTTTTTCCTTATCTAAATTCATTATTCTAAATCAGGGTTTGAGGATATCGAACTGTTTATCAACTGAATGGTAAAAAGTTGTCTTAGTTTTCAAAAGGGCTACACAGAAATCATAACTGTCATTTCATATCAATTATACTGTATACATTACTGTTTAAAAGCTTGGGGTCAGTAAGTTTTATAAAAAAAATTTTTTTTAATTTATTTAAGAAATGAATACTTTATTTAGCAAGGAGGTATCAAATTGATCCAAAGTGACTGTACAGATAATGTTAAAATGTAATGTTAAAAAGTTGCTATGCTGTTTTTTTAAACTTTCTCTTCATTAAAGAATCCTGTTAAAAATGTATCATAATTTCCATTAAAATAATGGCTGCTGAATTCCAACTTTGCCGATAAAATGTGGTTTGTCATGTCAGTCGCTTGCATATTGCACTCACAGTGAAAAGTGGTATTGTGCCATTGTTAGCTTGAAGATCTATTTCTACTTTATCTAACCCTTTAAAATTACTGTTGTAACCCAATACAATCAGATCCATTTCACCACAATACACACATTTTTGACTTGAATATAACCAGTTTTAGATGTGTAATTTAGATGTTACTACATAAAGCAAAATTAAGACCTCAGTGGAATGCTGTTTTCAGAATTAGTTAATCACAGAAGATGACAATCATAATCTTTGAACAATTGTGCAGCCCTAGTGTCCAACCTGATGTCTTGGTCCCTAGTGCTAGGTTTTTTTTTCTTCTAACTACTTCATCTGGATCATCTTCTGTTTCTCACCCAAATCTAGGACAAGCTTGAGTCAGTTCTGGATGTTTCCCATCAGCAGATGGAGCAGTACCAGGATCAGCCCGCCCATGCAGAGAAGATCGCCTATCAACAGAAGCTGTTACGGGAGGACGTGGTCCACATCAGGGCGGACATCTCACAAGTGTCCACGGTGAGGACACATACCTGTGTTAATATACTCGTAGAAGACTCCATGAAACGTCCATGAAATACTAAAATCACATTAGGCTGGGAATGAGTATTAATGCAACACTAATATCAGCTCATTCCACTCGTATTGAGGCTTGTTCTGTGTTAAACAGGAGATGGAGAACACTTGGGCAGAGTACAGCCAATTGGAGAGAGATGTGGACAGACTGCGTTCAGCCCTTCAAGACCAGAAGACCCACAGTGCTCTCTCTCAGGTCAGAACCAGAGAAAGAAGTCGAAAAATGAGACCCAGCTGTTTGAACTCTTTCTTTTTTAAATCTAAAATGGAGGACAGAAGTCTTTCTTTACTCAAGCTCAAAATTGTATTTCAGCTTTTATCTCTTTAATGCATGCTTCCAAACTAAAGTATCAATACTGTTTAAGCGGCAGAGCGTATCAGAAGATGTTAAACCGTGTCAGCCTCCTTTTCTATTCAGCATGCACCTCTCAGTCCGGTAATTGATAGAGAAAGAACAAAGTGATGAAAGAGATATGGAGCTCTCGGAGCCGGAGTGAAGATCTAATGTCAGTTTTTGATCAGCGTGATAGAGCAGTAAGAACAAGGCATAGAGTGTCTAAGATTATTGATTTCTCAAGTGTTTGTGTGAGAGCACACACAGACACAGTCAATAAATTATGGCTTGTTCTGAAAATACAAATAAGAGAAAATCCTATCCTTTCTTCGGTGCCCCTTTGAGCTCTAAATTAGCCTCTTAGAAAATCAAAGACAAGCCTCAGGGTTGTCATATTTTTTTAAGAGTGATCGCAGTTGTATGAAGTTACTTCTGTTCTATTCTGTTCTACTCTCATTTTTAGCTTTTAGTTTCTGTTAAAGAAATTGTTGTTCTATATTATATTATATTACATTACATTATATTAAATACTGATAGACAGACACTCATTTTTAGCATTCTATACACATGAATGTAATGAAATAAAGAAAAATTTATTCTCAAGCATAATGTTACATTTCTATATTCTGATTTTTATATATTACATGTAATATTATACATGATATTAATTTTTACACTTTAACTTAATTTAGATGCATGTTGGTGTATCTGATAATATATTGAGTTTTATATAATTGCATAATTATATTACTTTTTCTAAATAAATTACATTTACTTAAATACTGAAGTATGCATACTTGTATTCTGTTCCTTCCTGTTCCAGTCTCTTATGTTTACTTTTTTATTCAGTTATTTCTGTTTTATTTAATTCAAAATGAGTAAAAATGATTAAATTCTGTGCTACTGTGCAGCAGGAGAAATGTCAGCTGAGGAAGGAGCTGTGGCGGATCGAGGATGTGCTTGCAGGCCTAAGCTCCAGTAAAGCCAACTACAAAGTGACCATTGACTCTGTTCGGAATCCAGGTGAGAGCGAGCCCCTGCCTGCCATCACCCCCATGCACTGGAACACAGACCGAGGTCAAACAACACCACATGCAACTCTGCTAACTGCATCCACATGCAACTGATAATCATGCATGTTTTTTTTTGCCCTTATGATGTCAACCGGTGGAATAATTGCCTGACCCAGAGAGAAAACTTGTGCCTTCAGCGTCATTGTCCACAGTGCCTTCTCTCACTGCAAGCCCATCCATGGGTGAACTGAAAGCTGCTCAGCCCAGCCCCCATCTCAGCCCAGTGCAGTCTACCCAGCAGCCCTTGCAGCTCTCACATTCAGCGCACAAGCCAAAATGGGTGAGTGAGTGAAACAAAGTAATCAAGATACTCCTTCAGTTCATTTATCTGTATTTATTGAAATTTCATGTTTACACAATACAGTCTGAAGAGGATGCTCCACCCAGACCCCCTCTCCCTCACCTCTACAGTCCAGATGAACACCCCCCGGCTGTGCCCCCTCTCCCCAAAGAAACCTCTGTCATCCGCCACACATCAGTCCGGGGCCTTAAACGACAGTCTGATGAGCGGAAGCGTGATCGTGAGTTTGGGCAGTACACTAATGGAGATCATAAGGTTTGTGCCACTCAGTGGTACTCAGATACAGACAGTTTTCATCTGTGTATATGGTAAAATGTCAATATAGTTCTGAACTCTATTTTCCTGGGTCTCCAGGTTGAGATACGAGCGTTCCTGAGTGAGCCTGAACTACTGGGAGTTGGTGGACAAATTGGGGGCTTGAGCCGTGATAGTGCCTACCAAACTTTACCAAACAGAGGTATATACAGACCCATACATGACAGCCACAGTCTCAGATTCACAGACTCGGGCCCTCACTAGTGTACAGCACTCGATTGAAAAGGAGGATGCAAAGTTTGGTTCATGTAAACCACAGTACAGTTTATTGATGATGTGAAAACAGTCCGCTAGTAAATGGCTAATTATTTTGTATATTTTCCTTGTAGCTTGTGGAGGGACTTCCTAATGTCCATCATTCCCAATGGGAGCATACATTTTGACATGCAACTTCTGCAAGTGTGGAAATATTATTTAATTTTGTGCGTTTTGGCTGTATAAGAAGCTGTGAATTTAGCCTAAACATTACAAAGGAGCCAAAAATGGCAAAAATATAACTTCTACCACCATAATTTTTATCACAGAATGCTGTTTAACACAAAACTGTACATAATTTGAAATTGAAATGATGCTGTGGTTTCATGACTTTTAGAAAAAATTACAGAATTTTCCCTTGATGCACTACTGTTCAAAATTTTGGGGTCAGTATGATTTTTTAAAAATATATTAATACTTTTATTCAGTAAGGACGCATTAAATTGATCAAAAGTGATAGTAAAATTAAATTCAGTAAAATTTATTTTGGACTTTAATTTCATTGAAGAATACTGAAAAATATGCATCTCGGTTTCCACAAAAAATTAAGCAGCGCAACTATTTTCAACATTAATTATCAGAAATATTTCTTAAGCCCAAAATTAGCATATTAGAACGATTTCTGAATCATATGACACTGAAGACTAGAGTAATGGCTACTGAAAATTCAGCTTAAAATTCCTTGAGGGATTTTTTTCTGTATTTTTGATCAAGTAAATGCAGCCTTGGTAAACATACAGTAGGAGACTTCTTTCAAAAAAATTAATCTTACAGACCTCAAACTTATGAACAGTAGTCTTTATACTGCTGGACATTGTAGACATATTAAAACTAGTAAAATGTGTGCTTTAAGAGAGTCCACATGACCAAAATTGCCGATACTGTAGCTGAATTAAGCAAGCGTACCAAGTGTGAACGTGACATCAGGCTGCTCAGTGGGATGCAAAAAAAATGTTTGAAAATATGAACTTTCAGCTCAGAATTTTAGAAAGGATTTTCTAAGAAACCCTTAAAGATTTGTCTAATCCAGTTCGACATCTGTTAGGTTTGACAGGCTCATCTTCAAGACTGAACCAGTCATCAAACATTTCATCGTTTGTCACACTCAGAAGAGGACTCACCACCACAAGCTTGAAGGTAGGAAGCCAAACAAGTCCTGAAAGTGTCTCTTGAGAGGCAGGGGGACATAAAGGGTCCGTCATAGTTTGTTTTGGCAGAGCTGACATGCAGCAGGTTGATTAGATGCAGCAGCAGTACAAACCGCTGAGCACATGAAATAAAAGCAGCCAGTGTGGGCTTGGACCAGACTGTATTTTGCGAATGAATTACTGCGGTAGTGTTGCCATGCAGACTGTGAACACAGTGTGTGTCTCCCACCCTGATGAATTCATGCAGAAAATGTTAACAGAAATGAGCACAGCAGAGCTTCAAAATGAACTCCTCTATTCCTGATATTTTGTTTATTTTTCCTTCTGCCTCTCTCTTTCTGACTGACTGTTTTACACACATTAATAATAACACACTTAATTCAAAAACAATGAAATTACATTCAATTAGTTACAAATATATTTAGCTATATGAAATATACATAATATATTATGATTAAATGTACACAACTATTTAAAATTTTGGGGGTCAGTAAGATTTATTTTTAATGTTTTTGAAAGGAGTCTCTTATGCATTTATTTGATCAAAATATAGTAAAAATATTACAATTCGAAAGTATTATTACAATTTAAAGTAACAGTTTTCTATTTAAATCTAATTTATTCCTCTGGTGGCAAAGCTGAATTAACAGCCATTACTCCAGTCTTCAGTGTCACATGATCCTTCAGAAATCATTTCTAATGTTTTCTAATGCTGATTTGGTGCTTAAGAAATTTTTCTTTTTAAAATCAATGTTGAAAAGAAAAAGAAAACCATGATATATTTTTTCAGGGTTTTTTGATAAATAGAAAGGTCAAAAGAACAGTATTTATTTGAAAGAAATATTTTGATAAATTTAATTGCATCCTTACTGAATAAAAGTTAATTTCTTTTTAATTTAATAAGTTAATTGCAAGTGAACAATAAGAATATAGTATAGGCATAGACAGACATCTAGTGAATATTGATTGAGTCCTAGATGGTTCAGTCTCTCTTTATTACATTTTTCTTTTTCCTTCTTCTCCTCCCTTTTGCAAATTGTTGCAAATTTCTCTCTCAACACTGTTCTTTGGTGCTGTTTGTTTCAGCATTATTAACACGTCCACTGGTGTCTCCTAGGAGAGACCAAAGAGTGCCTTGGAGCGGCTGTACTCTGGGGAGCCCGTACAGCAGCGCGGCCGCATGAGCGCCGAAGAGCAGCTGGAGAGGATGAAGCGTCACCAAAAGGCTCTCGTACGGGAGCGCAAGAGAACGCTCAGCCAGGGCGAGTGGCAGGCATCCTCATCTCGTGCCTCCTCCTCCTCCACATCCAGACCTGTGTCTGGAGACCTGGGATCAGTATGTTAGAGCACAATGACACATTATCCTCCAGAGAGAGCTATCGCCTTGACATAAATGCACATTCAGCTATTTACACTGTTTTGATGGAGAACTGTAAGATTTGGTGTTAACACGATCAGCATTTCACTGAAGTAGTGTCTGCCGCAGGTAAGTGGATATGTTGGATGTGTTGAAGGAGACGTGAGAGATTTTATTACATGTTGTTGGGCCACACTGATAGGTTGCTCGATAAGAACAGGTGGGAGTTATGCTATTTGCTAATGAAAGACATGGACTAATGTGTTTAAAGGATTAATAAGGAAAGTTGATATGCTACTGATTTTCATTACACACTTAATGTAGTTTCAAAATGTTCTAATGACTTGTTTGAGTGTTTAATTTTAACCTTGGGATATAGATCCTTAAGGGAGCAGCTCCCTTGTTCATCTGGGATAGTGAATCAAAGTAGTGTGCTTTTACTTGCGGGTCTTTGAATAGGCAAAACCCAACACTAACATCAAAATGCTCTTTTAACCTCTCTATAACAATAACCTAATGCTCAAAGTTATGGGGTCTGCTGTATTAGTGGGCTCATAAACTAAACTAAATTTCAAGCACAAGCTCTCAAACCTTTTAGCTGTTCCTCACTCAACCGCAATAATTATAGCATAACTGAAGTGTGAAACCAGACTCTGTTGTGCTTACCTCACTCATTTATTCTTTTGTTTTACACTAATTTCACCCAGTTTCACTTTTCACATTCGGCTTTCTAATAATAAGTCTTACAAAACTCACAAAATAATTTTTTCCCCTGCGATTTGGGTCTGATTTGAGTGCACAGAATAAATGATAATTTAGTTTTTTATTCATTAATTGAATGGACATTAAAATCCAATTTAGCTTATCCAGTTTTTTTAAATAAATACTTTTATAATTTTACTCCTTGTTTTACCAAAATGTGTTGAATGTGTACACAATGAATGGCCTGGGTAATGTATGAATGACTTGTTTATAATTGTACTACTTACTGAGCATGTTTTTCTTTAATCACTCTACTGTACTGTACGTTCATAATGATATAATTGTATGATATGATATGATTGTAGCATAATTTGCAAAAAGAAAATAATTGCACAGCTCTGCTTTCTTTATCATTTATGTAGATTTTTGCACATAAAAATAAATACTTTGCTAGTAAAAAAAATAAGTAAAAGACAATTGTTCTTTTTCTCTCTACTGTGAATGTGAAACCTCAGTTTATTTCACGACACACTGGTTTATTTTCTTTCCAGTAAGCACAATAAAGCCTGGGAATGAAGCATGTAAATGAAGTCACAGATGGAGCTTTTTATTGCATCTTTCTTGGTTTGCAGGAGTGCTGTACGCTACGGTTTGAGAGCTTGAACATGAGACACTTCACACACAATCAGTCCAATCACTTGTGCGTGGTACAGAGGTACAGGAGCGCACTGGGACAATATACCATTACGCTCAAGGTTGCAGTTTAACCCAGTTTTGTGTGTTGTTTATGTGCAGGGCTGTCCTCTTTAAAATGTTTATTTCATGTAAAAAAAATAATGTTGGATGTAAGCTGATATGTGGAGCACAGAGGTCATTTTGGCTTCAATACTATGTGTACTACACATGTGATTCAGAGGGTTTTGAAAGCAAAAAACACTCTCTTAGTTAAATCTGTCACATCTGTCCTAGTGTAACTGGAAATGTTATTCTACACTTTACCTGTCCTGCAAATCAGGAGAAGACCATTTCAGAACCAAAATATAAAATTTAGATTTCCTGAGTTGGATGTGTCTGAGGTCAAGATCGCCATCTCAGGGCTCTGTGTGTTTGTGTGCCTTCAGTGGAGGAGAGAGCAGGACTTTGATTTGCATCTTCTTGAGCGGGCCGTGCAGGGTGAAGAGAGACCAGTCGAGCACAAAGAGAGACAGCGCTCTCACTCAGACGAATGGCTCACCCTGAGCAGCACACCCATGAGAGAACTGGATCTGGAGCCTCTGGACTACCAGCTAGATCTCAGCAAAGAGGTAACACTACTGCTTAAAGGGATAGTTAAAAAAAAAAAAGAGTCTGACATAATTTCCTTGTTGTGTGGAACAGAAAAGCCTCAGTCACCATGCACTTTTGTTTTATGGAGAAAATATGCATTAGAAATTCAGTCCTGTCCGTACTTAAAACTGCCTAAATTCTCAATTTTTGAATGAAAGTCATGCAGGTTTGAAATCACATGAGAGAGAATAAATGCTGACAGAATTTTCAGTCCAACTATCCTGAGTTTAAAGGGCAAATCTCAGTTATGAAGTATTGTTGAATGTTAAAACATGTTACATTATTTTGCCTTTGATCATTTCATATTATAAAAAAATGTAGGCTTTTTATTTTAATAGAACAAAAAATTACATATATAATATAATCATTTAAAACTTAAATGATTGGACCTTAGATTTCAGAATTAAATGATTGATGGTGTGTGTTTGGTCTCAATGCCTGTATAGCTTGCAAAGCCACAAAAGGTGGCCATCCCTGAGCGTTATGTGGACCTGGATCCAGAGGAGCCCCTTAGCCCTCAGGAAATGGAGACCAGACATCGTAAAGTGGAACAAATCAAGAGCATCCTTGCTAAGTCTAGGTACTGGCAGATCAGTCTCATTTAACACAGCTGCTCTTATTGTCAACTTTATAGATGGTTGCCATTATATACACTATCATTCAAAAGTTTTATAAGTTTTTTTTTCTTTTAATGTTTTCAAAATAAGCATCTTATGCTCACCAGGGATGCATTTATTTGATCAAAAATACCATAAAAACATTAATATTGTGAAATATTTGTACAATTTAAACAAACAGGTTTCTACTTAAAGGGTTAGTTCACCCAAAAATGAAAATTCTGTCATTAATTGCTCACCCTCGTGTCGTTTCAAACCTGTAAGAGCTTCGTTCATCTTCGGAACACAAATTAAGATATTTTTGATGGAATCAGAGAGCTGTCTGACCCTGCATAGACAGCAGCGCAACTGAAATGTTCCCAAGTCCAGAAACGTAGCAAGGAGATCTGTAAAATAATCCAAGTGACATCACCGCAATTATACGAAGTTACGAGAATACTTTTTGTGTGCAAAAAGTAAAGAAAAAATAAAACGACTTTATTCAACAATTCGTCTCCTCCGCATCACCCTGGTGCCATTTTGGAGAATATCCGCTGGCCGTAAACAGCGTATGCTGTTCTGTGTCAGCTGCGTCACGCGGATATGTTGTTTTCATTCAAATCAAAGCGCAAACAACGTAGGAAACAGATCCGACGTGACGCAGCTGACAGCTCTCAGATTCCACATTCCATGTGTTCCGAAGATGAACGAAGGTCTTACGGGTTTGAAACGACATGAGGGTGTGTAATGACAGAATTTTCATTTAAACTATCCCTTTAAATAGCATTTAAAATGTAATTTATTCTTCTAAAGGCAAAGCAGACTGCAGTGTTACATGATCCTTCACAAGTCATTCTGATTTGGTGCTCAAGAATTATTTCTTATAATGTTGAAAATAGATTCTTTGAAGAATAGAATGTTCCAAAGAAAAACATTTATTTGAAATAAAAATCTTTTGTAACATTATACATATCTTAACTGTCACTTTTGATCAATTTCATGAATTCTTACTAAATAAAAAGTATGAATTTCTTTCTTTAAACTCTACAACTTACTGACCCTAAAATGCTGAGAACATTTTTGTTACACCTTTCTCTGAGAGTTTACTCTGATGTACCTGTTTTTTGTGTGCATATAAGTGTCCAGAATATACCTCCTCCAGCAGCAGTAGACAAGCCGGTGCTGCCGGACATAGACTCGGCTCTACAGGAGCAAGAGAGAATCATCACCATGTCCTATGCTTTAGCATCAGAGGCCTCGCTCAAGAGCAAGCAAGTGGCAGGTAAAATAACCAGCAGCATTACTACCAATCTGAACTGATTCATTAAATTATTATTATTACTGATTCCTGAAATTATCTTGTTAATACACTCCATTTTCCATGGTAGCACATGCTGTGTTTTACATGACATTTTTAAGTCAAATTACAGTAAATTTGTTTTTAGTAGTAACTTATTGTGAAATTTTGTTAAATGGCAAGAGCAAGGACAGGGAATTTAGTGTGCATAATGTGTGTTAAGGATGCTGAAAGAGAGTCCCATAATAACATACAATCAAGAGTTCACACCTGTATGACTGCCAGAACTCCATTTGAATAGATTAATTTCAGATATGCTCTGCAGTACACCTTGACAAGTTAAAATACTCTGAAAAGATCAAGGTAAATGTGAAGAAAACACTTCAGAAATAGCTATTTGTAATGCAAATCTGTCAGTGTCAATAAAACTTCCTAAATCATCACACTGACAAATACAGATTAACTGAACATTGGGAGAAACGGTCCACCCTGTTTCAAATCATCAGCATTGGAGGCGTGATGAGGAAGAAGAAAGAGCAAAGCCAAGCCTATCAAACGCAACGTTAATAACTGAACATTATTCCTTATTAGCGCAGATCTGACGAGTAAAGATGCTTGCTAATTGGGAGACATGTCGGCTCTTTCAGGCTGGGTGGAATCTCTTGATGAGGCCATTTTTTTCAGAGCCGATCAATGACCCAGTTGAATATGCACTGGGGCTTGTTCACTCTGCATCCCGTGGCAGCACTTTGAACATATTTCTGAACTGGCATAAAAGCACACCATCGTTTCATCTTTACTTCTTACAGAGGCCTCACTCACTCTGCCAGGTCTAACCTTCAGACAGGGAGCAGTGTGTCTCTCTTAGTCACACAGTTTTACAGTCAATTCGTCCTGACGTGATGGATCATAATGTGTGAGGCGGTATGGCGTAGTCAACAACTATCACAGTGTTTCCATTGGAGAACATGTCAGAATACCATATGTGAGGGATCTCATCTGTCAAGGCAGGTCAGGGTTTTGATCACCCACAGCACCACTTTGTGCATTTATGTTGAGCTTAAAATAGTTAGAGCTGTGGCATGCTCATGCGTTGGCTTGAGACATTGCCTGGTTCCACTAACCCTCTTTTGCTTTTGTCATGTCTTTTCTATGAATACAAATGGTAGAAAAGTCCAGATGTAGCTAAAATTGATACCAACTGATCCAAACTGGTTTTGGTAGACTATCAGCTGGAGGGGCCAGGTACATCCTGGTTAGCTGGTAGACCACCTTGGTTAGAGGAATAGTTGCCTAGTGAAAATGTGCTACTCATTCTTCTATCGTTCCAAACCCATATGACTTTATTTCTAACAAAGAAACACGACAAGGATTTCAAGCTTCAAAAAATACGCAAAAGCACCATCAAGGTGGTCCATGTGACTTGTGTGCTATATTCCAAATCTTCTGAAGTCAAACAAAGAGCAGACCAAAGTCATTATTAGCTGAGAATATTCTCCTTCAGTGAGCTGTTAACCGCTGCAACCGGATCATCAAGTCAGTGAGCTGAACTTGAGAATCAGATGATTCAGATTCAGACCAGTTTTGTGAACTGGATCGTCTGATTCACTGAAAATAAACCACTGTTCGAATTATATGTGTGTGCATCTCTCCAAAGCTATTTCAGTGCAGTTCATGAAAGAGCATGACCTCCAACTGCATTGTGTGTTCTGCTTCCCAGCATGCCCCAAATCAGTGGTCTGCCTTGATTTCTTATTTGACACGTGCCTATTATGAGCTATTACAGTATATGAGGCACTGTCCACAAATACGGTACACTTTTGGGTCTCATTAAGTCTTAAAGGCACACTTTTTTTGTTTGCCATGATGATTATTTTATAAACCATTATCTAACTTTTAAATTAACTTGGCATGAAAAGTTAGCAAGTTTTTCCTTAGAAGTCTTGATCCTGGTTATGGTTTTAAAGACTACAAGACTACAATTAAACACAATAAATAAATAATCTGATCTACAGAGCTCCTACTGAGTGACAGTACATTACTGTTACTGTAACAAAGCTAAACTATGTAGCTGCTATATATATATATATGGGGTGCTGTGTGTACATTAATGAGGAAAAAAAATTAACTTAAATGATTTTAGCAAATGGCTGCAATATAACAAAGAGTGAAAAATTTAAGGGGGTCTGAATACTTTCCGTACCCACTGTGTATATATATATATATATAAAAGTTATATAGGAATAATAATATAAAACAATATGAATTCTCTATTTTAAATTTCTCAGTTTTTTTCTTTCTAGAAAATAACAAAATCATATGCATTAGCATTTTAAACTATATTCAGACCTGTCCCAATTATTGCGAAAAAGTGAAATTAAATCGAAAATGAAACGCCTCATTAACAGCAATATTTAGTTTGACCTACTAAAGGGGGGAAAAAGTTGAAAGATCTTCTGCCATGTTTTATACCGTACTCTGTTTGTGGACAGTGCCATGATTATATTGTACTATATGAAAAATTTGAGTCAGTGCATAACAGTACACTTTATGCTTATTAGCCAGTCCATTTAATCACTGAACGCCTGAGCTGGCCGTGCTATTCTGCTGTTTCAGCAGCATTTGTATGAAAGTGAGCTGCATGTGTCATGCACATGCATGTGTTGAAGTGTGTTTAACTCAGCATTTTCTCTATGTAACATGCTGCACAGAGAGAAGGAGGGTGGAGAGTGTTTACCTGTCTACTATTTAGTAAGGTCATTCTGGGTTATAAAAAATAAATAAATTGGCATTTGAGTTAAAGAGACTACACTGGGGGAAAAAAGTGGTGTAGAAACAATTTTCATTTAGAAATTGCTAGTAAATTTCACAAATAATTACAAAAAAGTAAGTAACATTAAATGAGAAATTGTATTTAAAATCTTTGTTTTATTTACAACTTCGAAAAACCATTTTTGCAGTGTAGGTACTTGCACCACATGGGTTTTAATTAACTTTTTTTTCTGTTTTAGCACTGAAGAATGTATTACCTTAGTTCACTGTTATGTGTGGGTCTTTTTTCAGTGTATTGTATTGTTTTGTTTTGCTTTATTTCTTCACATTTCACATCTCTCACTCTTTATCTCTTTTCCAGCCAAAGCTGTGTCTGGATATTAAGGTGCTGTCACATTCTGAAAACCCCACTAGTGGTGGACAAACTTAAACTCGGCTTATCGAATCACATCGCTCACATTTAGAGATGACGTTAGCGCACTTTTGGAATCACATGGGAACTGGCTCCTGAAATGCATTTTTGTGGAGCTATTATTTGATATGGACTTTCTGCTGTGGAAACTGCTGTGCATATGCTGTACAAAATCTAACCATGATAACCCAGATATACAGAGCCTTTTTATATACATCACTGCACTTTTAATATGCACCGTATTGTAGAGAACATTTAAAGCTCATGTTTTACTTCTCAAGGCAAGACAGATGTTTAAATGGAGTTCAGGTTGAAAACAACGGTAACATACAGACTAAAAAAGTATTATACATGTGTAACGCATTATGAACATGAAGGGTACAAAAATGTCAAATGTCGATTGTATTTTGTCAATTCAGATGATATTCTTACACCAAATCACTTGAAATATAATTTTTATGTATCCAGCACTGCCAGTCTCTCCAGTTAGCTTGCCAAATGCATTTTATTTTTGTTGACAAAGTTAAGAAAAAAAAACAATATTTTCAGACAGGATTTGTGGGGAAGTGGTTGGGGAGGAATATGCCACATACTTTTTTTTAAAGAAACTGTAAATATTAAAGATATTAACAAGCCATTTGTCTTTTATTCTGTTTGTGTTCTCTAAGAAAGAAGGAAAGAGAGAAAAGAATTTCAAGTTTTTCAGTTTCAGAATGTCAAATAAGGAATTTATTAAATGATTGGGAGGTTTTACATTTGCATCGCATTAAAAGCAGTAATCAATTCGAAATTACACGTTTTGTGAATATCTTCTGAACTCGCCTTGTTTTATTCCTTCCATACATATTCAGTTACAAGAATAAGAATAAAACTAATTTCAAAATTCCTTTTCCATGTATGTTCTGTAACAACCAAATGTGAAATGTGAAATGTGCTCTCTTCATTGCTTCAAGGATTTCCTTTAAAATGTGCATTAAATGTTTTGACCTCTTTATGTTGTATAACTTTATAAAGATAAAGGATTTTAATTTCACACAACTTTTTAAATTTTTTTAATCTGCATTTAATGTGTGTGTGTGTGTGTGTGTGTATTGTATATATATATATATATATATATATATATATATAGAGAGAGAGAGAGAGAGAGAGAGAGAGAGAGAGAATAAAACTAATTTCAAAATTCCTTTTCCATGTATGTTCTGTAACAACCTCTTATTTTTTTGGTTATTGCCCATAAATGTGAAATGTGCTCTCTTCATTGCTTCAAGGATTTCCTTTAAAATGTGCATTAAATGTTTTGACCTCTTTATGTTGTATAACTTTATAAAGATAAAGGATTTTAATTTCACACAACTTTTTAAATTTTTTTAATCTGCATTTAATGTGTGTGTGTGTGTGTGTGTGTATTGTATATATATATATATATACCTGCAAAGGACATTTCCTAAGACGCTCTTGATTGGACTGTTTTGAGTCGTAGTGTGAGTGGGTCTGTACGGCTGTTAGGATACTCTGTGTTGCAGCCCTCAAGTGAGATCTTTATCTGTAATTGGAGAGTGATTACCGTCTCTCTACTGCTGTATCTTGTTCTTTGAAAGCACCTGTGAGACATGCTGCTCCTCCCATAGCTCCACAGCAGGAGCTGCCACATCTCACTGCATCTGATTAGAAGAAGTGAGAGGTGTGCTATAGGGTGTGTGTGTGTGTGTGTGTGTGTGCGCGTGCGTGTGCATCAGCGAGCCTGGTGGGCATGAGTTTGATCACATCCGCTTTTTTGCTTATTTTGCAATAAGCGGGCTGTTTTTCCTCCTCCAGCAGAAATCCACCCAAGACCATCCACAGAGAATTGTGGCATTTCCATTTATTGATGTTTGGCTGCTATTTCATATACATTTGTTATTGTGTGTGTGCGCGTGCGTGTGCATCAGCGAGCCTGGTGGGCATGAGTTTGATCACATCCGCTTTTTTGCTTATTTTGCAATAAGCGGGCTGTTTTTCCTCCTCCAGCAGAAATCCACCCAAGACCATCCACAGAGAATTGTGGCATTTCCATTTATTGATGTTTGGCTGCTATTTCATATACATTTGTTATTCCGCACTCTGGGTTTCAAAGAGAATAAGAAAAAACCCATTATGCAAATTCTGTCCTGTTCTGTTAAATGCACTGAATGTCTCAAGCACTAATTCTGCACAAAAATATTTCACCCTCGTTCAAAGAAATTTAAAGACAAATGTATGTACGCCTACAACTGTATTTAGACGCTTTGTCATCCAAGGCTTCTGCGACATTGAGTGTTTGAAAAACATTTAACCTTTGTTCAATCCAATTCATTTGAGTATCTACTGCGTTATTCCATATCAAAGTTCTTGTGCGTCACAGGTCCTATTGTGTCCACGATGTAATTCAATTCTTGGATGAATACGTGGTTATTTAGCATAGAATAGAAGAAGTTCCTTGGAACTGCAGAAGGAATGCTGTATTTAAAGTTGAATACTATAAATGTCCTTCATTTGAATGAATGAATGATAGATTGAAGAGATTGGAGGGGGAAAAAATATTGCTTTTTATTCACCGCCCAACCAAATGTGATAACTCTCAGGAGGTTTGTGGGAATTTTCAGCAATAATGTCCATGGCAAGAGCTGTAGTCTATGCCAAGAATCATTTACAAATATGCAGTTGACTATAGACTATTTGTCAATATTGACACGAATCTGGGTGGTGTTCTCTCCACAGGACTACTCCAAATACTCTCTGGTGAATTGGAGGCGACTATTTACTAAATGTCTAGAAGTGACTGAATTAATTAGTGTAAAACTGTGTGCAGCATTTCTCCACGAGTCTTCATAAATTTGTCAAAACATGATATGTTTTGGAGTGGCTCAAATGATTCCATTCTGTAAATGGCCACCTGTTTCAAAGTGAAATCTGAGCGGCCCGAGTGAATTATAACTATTCTGACCTTGTCTTAGGAATGAAAGCTATGTTGTCCCTAGAGTTTGACAGCTTGACAAAAAGTTCTGTTCTTTGCTTTTTTGAATCAAACCTGACAAAGCTCCAGTCACGGAGAGAAAACGGCTGCTCAGCTGTGGAATAAACAGAGATAAAACAGTGCACAAAGAAAGCCAAAGAGCATTTAGTAGTGAAACACCACAGATGGCCCATGTAAGGTCAAAGGCACAATACAAGCCATGAACATAATGTGTGGACCAACTGTATGTCCCCCCAAAACAAAAAAAAAGTTTACACTAAGTTGGGCTTGGTTTTGCAGTACTCTTAACCCTATACGTATGATGTTGCCTTCAGGCAACATGACAAAATTTGGCTCATTGTGATAAAATGAAATGTGCAATTCATGAGTCTTTTTTTATTAGGAGGGGCCAGAATCAGAATCAGAAAGAGCTTTATTGCCAAGTATGTTTGCACATACAAGGAATTTGTTATAGTGTCACAAGCTTCCAGTACACGCCGACTACTTTCACAACACTCTTCTGCCATTATTCTCTTGCTTTGTATCCTTACAGAAAGATTGTACTTATAGAACAACACACAAAGGTCGTTAAAGAGTCTTTTTTGAAGGTAACTTACTGTTCTTACCTAACATCTTTTGAGATTTTACAACTCGTGCAGTATCCAAACCACAATAGTTTTCTGATAAAACATTTTTGAAACACGTTCTATCTTTAAAAAAAAAAAAGAATAGCTATAATGCCATCTTTTTGTTCCTTTTATGTGTGATCATCATACAATATAAATGTGTGTACAACAATGAATTTTCATAACATTTTCCCCCCATAACCTAAAATAAAGTCATTGGGGTCCAATGTTGTTTGGAGCTGTGTTAAATTGAATTAATGTATTGTATTAATTTGAAGGAATTTTCTGTATTTTTTTTCTTTTACAGGTGTTTTACCTCTATTTTGAATTTTCTCTCTCTCCCCCTCTCTTAGCCCTGTGTGACTCTTCAGTTAACAAACAGCATTTTCTTCTGCATCTGCCCTTATCATTGTAAGTACAACATCGTATTATGTATCTATTGTTTTCTTTCGTATTGATATTTTAAGTACAAAATAAATATGCATTTAAAACAGGATGCACGCAATTATATTTAAAAAACGCGACCGTTCACAATTATTATAGTTGCGATTATTTACTATTGTTTTTAACTACTGACTTTTATTGCCTGTTATTGTATGTTTCGAAGCGGATTGTATTTATAGTTTCCGATCTCTGCGTATGTTTCTCAGTGTTGAAGGTTTAATTTTTTTATCCATAGTCTGTCTAACCTGCATTCCTAAAGTACATTCAAAAACCCGAACTCATCTGACCTGACCTGTGACAGTTTTAAGAGCGAGCATTTTCTTGATAAAACTCAATAAAATACAATTATATAGTGGAGCGTATACAAAGTTGTTTGGAGAGGAATGTCTCCGTAGTGAGGGAATTTTGTTCATGCACTTTATAACTTCTTAAATATTTATATACCAGTGTAAAGGAAACCGCTTTACAGCATAAAACATATCGAACTGAGTTATGTTAAATAAATCTTTTTTTTCCCCCAAATAATAATTTATTACACGAGTAAATCAAGTTAAGATACTATAAAACATTTGTGAACGTTTCAGAATCGTTTATCTGAATTCGAAATCTATGATTCAATCCATGCTTGTCCTGAAATTAATTTGTAATGCAATTTTAAATATTTTTCCCATTTATGTTACAATTTCCCAAATAGTTCCAGGGAGTCACGAGGTGAAGAGTATAAATGCTGCTCAGGATGTCCAGTCTCTGTAATTCTTCAATATATCGATCAAATAATTTGCTATCATAAAGAAACATTCTACTAAACATGGGGCTGTTTCAACAGACAGGATTCTTCTACATTCGCTTTTGTATAATGACCTGAGATGGCCTTTGGTTATTGGCACAAGACTATCTTAATAGTTCCAGGTGTAAAACATTGTTTTACAATCTTTTTAAGACGGAAGGCGCGTTGGATAAATAGACGCAATAAGCATTCTTTTTGCGAAACTACATTAACCGTTTTTCACTGTAATAACAATATAACCGTCTGTATTTTCTATCTGCAGTGAGGATTGGTTTAGCTTAGGTAACTTCAAATTCCATCAAAGTGCTCCTAGTGCAGACTCATCAGCAAACCAAGTTTGTTTATAGGCTCCATCAGTGTTTTTTTTTTGTAATAATGACAGATTTCTGCAGCCTATACCCAACTCTAAATAAAATGAAAGAGGCTTGTCGTCGCTTAAAATTTGTCCGACATGTTATCCACAAAAGTAACACAAAGGAAGAAAGAAAAATCCCCATCTATACATTTTAACCTTCATTTGTCTCTTCATTGTCCCATTTCTGTTCCAAATTCCAAAGCTTCCTGAGCAGCTCCAGCTCAATTCAGTATGACAAAATGTGCATATTTGATAGAGTTCGTTTAAAAAAAAAAAAAAAAGGTAAAAAAAAAAGGCTTTTATGAGGTTTTCAAATATAATAGCTAACTTTTAAATGAGTTTTGGTTATAACCAAACATTCCAAATGCATAACTTTAACAAATGACGCGTGAATGTTCGCAAATATTAGTGTTGCTTTTTTAGGCTATGCGAAATTTGACATAATGTAAAAAAGGAATTACACTGATATTGTATATATTCATACCCTATATACTATATATAGCCTAACTCAAATGTGGCTCCTGATGTTTTCCCTCTCACAATCTCCCCTATTCTACCCCACCCCGTTAAAGTCTCTCTCTCTCTCTCTCTCTCTCTCTCTCTCTCTCTCTGTGTTGTCTGGGAGGGAGCCCTGCCTCTTTCCTCAGATCAATGCCCTGGCCACTCACTTTCTGATGTTGCACGACGGGAAATGCTTTGAATACTTGCGACATGGCCGCTTGCATTGATTGCCAAGATTGACAGCATTAACCATCGTCTTCTGTCGCTTCTGTTTTAGAGTAGATCAAAGTGCTCCTAGTGCAGACTCATCAGCAAACCAAGTTTGTTTATAGGCTACATCAGTGTTTTTTTTGTAATAATGACAGATTTCTGCAGCCTATACCCAACTCTAAATAAAATGAAAGAGGCTTGTCGTCGCTTAAAATTTGTCCGACATGTTATCCACAAAAGTAACACAAAGGAAGAAAGAAAAATCCCCATCTATACATTTTAACCTTCATTTGTCTCTTCATTGTCCCATTTCTGTTCCAAATTCCAAAGCTTCCTGAGCAGCTCCAGCTCAATTCAGTATGACAAAATGTGCATATTTGATAGAGTTCGTTTAAAAAAAAAAAAAAAAGGTAAAAAAAAAAGGCTTTTATGAGGTTTTCAAATATAATAGCTAACTTTTAAATGAGTTTTGGTTATAACCAAACATTCCAAATGCATAACTTTAACAAATGACGCGTGAATGTTCGCAAATATTAGTGTTGCTTTTTTAGGCTATGCGAAATTTGACATAATGTAAAAAAGGAATTACACTGATATTGTATATATTCATACCCTATATACTATATATAGCCTAACTCAAATGTGGCTCCTGATGTTTTCCCTCTCACAATCTCCCCTATTCTACCCCACCCCGTTAAAGTCTCTCTCTCTCTCTCTCTCTCTCTCTCTCTCTCTCTCTGTGTTGTCTGGGAGGGAGCCCTGCCTCTTTCCTCAGATCAATGCCCTGGCCACTCACTTTCTGATGTTGCACGACGGGAAATGCTTTGAATACTTGCGACATGGCCGCTTGCATTGATTGCCAAGATTGACAGCATTAACCATCGTCTTCTGTCGCTTCTGTTTTAGAGTAGAGAGGGAAAACGCGATAAATATACTTCTAACTGCTCTCAGTAGTTTTGACAGTTCAACTTCATACAGCCAAAGCGGGATTCCCTCTTCGGTCAGTGGAAGCGATACACTTCAGTTTTCCCCTTTTTCTCCGCTACTACACATCAGTGTACATTATCTGTAACCTGTTTGAAAACCAATAACGGGATACGGCGAAGACGAGCGCTTGTTTGGTATCCTGCTCACATCAAGGTAAACTTTTAGCATTGGTAACCTGTCGTCCGTGATTTCATATCTTCATCATGTTGTGTCTATCGTCGTAACACTGCAGCTGTCGTGTTGATATATTCACGTTTTCATTACAGAAGCTTTACAGGAAGTGTTCAAACCATTTGAAACGTTTGGCGTGTCCAGGATTGATATTTGTCTTAACGGTCATTTTCAGCGAAGAGTGAGGCGTGATACTCCGTAAACCGATGTGACGAGGAGCGATTAACCTGAGAAAACCTGGACGACTAACAAAACAAAGTTCAACGGACATTATCCAAGTGGTTCTTGTATGTCGTCCCAGCAGTTATAATGTTTCGTCTGTACTTCATTGTCCGCTGTTCCAACTATTGTAGTGTAGCTTACTCACAAACGCACGCGCCGAACAGAAACTATGCTTATACGCAGGGCTGATTACTAACAATGTCTGTATGATTATTGCTCCTGATGCGGTGCAATTAAATGAGTGTTATTTCTGAGTAATAGATAGCCTGTAGTTGTCCCCGGACGGCGGATAAGTTCCCCACAGGAGGTAATTTCACTTCTGCCCACAGAGCGGTACTATTCATTGACAATAACGGGAGAAGCGCTGCTAAAGGTACAGTACTAATTCCGTACGGGCAAGAATCCGATTCGACGTCGTTTTAACTTTCTCTCCGTTATAAAAAAAAAAGGACATACTTTGTGTGTTTAAGATCGGATACATCTCCTGTCCGTAAGAGGGGTCATTTAAAAGGAAAACCATTTTTGAAGGCAAAATTGTTTTTATGCGAACATGGGAATTGTTTCTCAACTTTCGCTCGAGGTCAGGCATATTGATCTTTGAAGAATGCATGAGCCATACATTAAAATGAAGTACTCATCCAAAGCTGATCCATTTAGAGACAATAAGCAACTTGGACAAGCAGACTCCTCTAGTCTCCCAGCTTGAAAAACAAACACAATAACGGTGCTTTGAAACACTGCATTCAGACTGAAAGTAAGTAAACTCCGGAAATTGTTACGTGGTTATTAATTTAGTCAGAATGTGTGATATTTTATTTTGGAGCGATTACAACACTTATTAAAAATATCTGCCTTTTGTTTAGGTAGCCTATTTATCGTTTTTATTTAAAAGCCATGACCAGATAAGTGTAAAAAAAAAAAAAACTTTAAACAACAAGATAAGAGAGTTGTTTAAAATGACATTCACAGTGCATTTCTATTCAAAAGAATTTATTTTCCATAATATGCGATTTAAACGTTGAATAAGTGTTTATCCTTATTCTGCCTTTGTTTCTAGTTTTGTGATTTCCGATGAGGAAATTGAGAGGACAAATGGAGCGCAATGTGTGCGAACTCAGTCTGTGGGACACAGATAGCCCATCATCTCATGGGTGTTTCCCAAAAGTAGACCCTCATAGACACAGATAAGCCCTTTTCGACTGCTGCACGAGATGCGATAATAGTTGAATACGGAGCATAACACAGCACACCGACGTACGACGGAACTGAAAGGTTTTTGAAAACTTCTACACGTCAAAAGGGACATTTAAAATACTACAAAAATTAAAACGCATAAATTGAAAAAAATCCGGCGCTTGGAAGTCCAACACTCTCCTCCTTTTTTGCTTTTTAAACCTCAGAGCAGAAACACAAAAGCTTTGTTGTTCTCGCGCAGGGACGCAACCTGACACCTTAATTAAACACAGCTTAACCTGGCTAGTTTTTCTCTGCTGAAATTGTGTCCAGTCTGTAAGAATAACCGGGTGTCTAATAATACATTCTTGTCTTAAGTGAGAGGGGGCTGTTTGAAAAACAATCCCCTTGGCTTGTCCCTCTGTTGGGGTGAAGTTGAGCCCGTAATGGCATTTTGTTTTGAGCAGTTGCTGTTAGCTGTTCCCTCATAAGGTAAGATGGCACTGGAGTCTAATGGAACATTTATAATTAGACTGCCAGTTCAGCACATTGTCCTGATTGCTATACAGGGATATGCTTCACTCAATAGAGAGAGACTTCTTCACTGCCTTTGAGAGAGGGTGTCTGTTGCCTAGCCCTTACGTTTATTTACTTTTTTCTAAAGTCATGCATTGAAAAGACAAACCATAATCACCTTTATTAATCCAACAAAATGTAAAAATCAATTAAACGTGTTATTTGAACGTCTAAAAATCCATTGTCTTTTATTATTAGCATTTCACAAATACGCATCCGTGTAAATTAATATTCTTGTTTTTTTAAACGCTTCGCTGTTTAAAGTTTAAACGCTGTTTTCATTCAACCATATATTCAGTGCACATGCTGTATTTCCGCGAATGTGGACAGAAATTAAGTATGAGTGAAGGTTTATGTGCAATTCCATAACGATATGACAAACGCAGTTTCATTTTCCCTGAGATTAAAGCGTTTGAGATAATGACGATCTCTTTTTTCCCCCCCAGGACGTTCTGCCCGTGGATTTGGGGAGGAACTTGTGGTTTTGTGCAAGCAAAGAGCATTTCCTAGCTGGATCCGGCGAGCAGATACCGACAGATCGCAGACGAACGCTTATGGTGCCAGTAAGTTCAGAGATTTGGACCGTATTCTGTTCTGCGATGCCTCGCTTGAATTTGAACAGAACTAATGTACTTAGACTTGACAGCTGGAATATGTATTTTAACACATGAAGTGTGTGAAGTTAGGTTGTATTTTTTGACTCATTCTTACAGCTCATCGAGATTAATTTGAGTTTTAGATTATGTACAGTGGTGATAGTTTTGCATTTTTTAAAAATGAATAGGCCTAATCAATTTATCTCTAAATATAAGTTTATATTAATAAAATATAAAAACACTGTTGCAGAGTGTCAGTATGATATTTTATTTAGTGACTGAGTAGTTGTAATTTCATGCCACTAAAATCCTCTTACAGAGTGTGTTTTGTGGGTTCTTCTAATTTTTTAGGTACATAATACAAGTCACACCACTTTATTTGGTACTCAGTATTTCATATTATTAATTAATATTATTTATTCATTTATTGTTTTTATTTATTTATTTTTTGAATGAGAGAATTGCTTTTCTATGCATGCAGTTTGTTGTAAGTTCAGCTGCATAACTATAGTTTAGTATGTGTATCTCTGTTATGAAGGGACTTGTGATTGCTTCTTTGGAGACATTCATTGCAAACTGGCTTCAGTCGAATGCATTATCAGTCCTAAAAATCTGGACAGTAAATGAACTTTGAATAATTCTCTTTCATGTTTGTTTCCAGAGGTTGTCTGCCATATGTTTTAGTACTTGTGAAATATTGTCTCAGATTTCCCTTCCATCAATTTTGAGTTTTAATCTGTTTTAAACAGCTCTGGCATTTATTGCATTTTTATTGCAACTGTTTTATTATTTACATTTTTGATTAACTAATTTTACTTTACTTATTGTTTCTTACTTTAGTAAAGCAGTATGTCTTTAATGTTTAAATGATGTGTATACGTCTTAAGTGGATGTATATCTTGACGATACAGTGATATGAAGTGTAGTTTTTTTTTTTGAGCTCAAGCAGTTTATTTGTGAACAATCTCGTTCTTATCCCACATATTTTTTCAAAATGATGTTTCATCTTATTAATTTATAGTACTCTTGTTTTAAAATCTGTCTTTATTTTTGAAATGTAGTAGTGTGCAGGCCAGTTCAATATTTAGTGGAAAGGAGCATGTTGAGGTAGTGGAAGATGCTCAGGTGTAAGTCTCATCTGGCTCTGTCTTGTATTGGAGGGGTTAGAACAGTGCCAGCAGAATCCTAATGATAAACAACACTGGAGGTAAACAACAGCAGGCCTGGTAAAGGTAAGCAGCACGCCAGCCGTAGGGGAGGAATGCATGAGGAGGAAATGTGGCAGCACATGTTGTGACATCTGTCTTTATAAGTGTTAGCTAATTTGCTGTGGAATATTTCAACAATGATCAAAACCGATGGCAACATGTTTATTAGAAGGCTTTTTTCCCCTTTTGTGGCAGAATCTCTCAAGTTTCTGGAATGTGTTATTGAAGCTTTGCTGCACTTTTAATCATAGTAAGTTTCGGCTACTAATTAGGGAAATGAGAAAGACACAAGGAAGGTGGTGTTTTCTTGTAGGTGATTTTTAGGTCTTGAATGACGGTACATAAGGCATGCATTTCTTTTCTTATTGAAAGCATCACTTTCGTAACTGGTTGTGTTTATACACATGTTGACGTTTGAGTGCATTCAGTACATGTGGCTTTTCTCGCATCTGTCCGCTGCATTCCTACAGATTGACAGATCCATTGTCATCAATGAAGATGGCACACTTGACCCGGGTTTCCAGTATCTTTTATGATTTAATGATTTACATAGGCAGGAATGCTGACCTTGGACACAACAAAATCAAATCAGAGCTTTAACAATCAAATGACAGATAGTAAAAAAATAGCTTTGTAGTCTTGTGAAGACCTTTAACATTAGGACTTAAGTATTTCTTTCCTCCAGCGCAAGTATAAATTATCCAACCTACACTTATCTGAGGCTTAACAACACGCCCAAATTGCAGTCTTCCGTCTGAAAAAAGATAGTGAAGCTATAGCTCAGGAGGCCTTGTGAAATGCCAATACAGATGGCCGTGTCTTTCAGCGACAGTCCACGCCGAAAAGGCCTTTTTTTTCTTACAGTGTTTTATGCTTTTTTCCCCTTTGCAACCTCAGGTCTAGACGTTACACTCATTCGAGAATAAAAAATTGAAGACGTCTTTGATGTCTTGGATACTCTTTGTAAATGAAGGGCACGCTTTTTGCCCACTACTGAAAACACATGTTCATCTACGGCCTGACGCTGCACAATAAAGCGGAGACACAGAAGCTTTTCACCCCTCATTTTCTCACAGCAGTTGCCTGACAACAGGATGTGCTCTTTGAATATATCCCTTCAATACACACCATTGCTCGAATCAAAATGTCTTGAACTTGGTATTGCGTGACACTTTATGTGAAATTAGGTGCATGACAAATATACCTTCAACATTATTGAACATTTTCCTACAGTTCTCTCTCCTATAGTTTTTTTATAAGTACACATGAATATGTAGATTTAATGGGATCTCTGGGACGGTGAGGTTGTTGACACTGGCTTTATTGTTTGTTATAATCAGCATTATCAGGTCTAGGCTCTGGTGTAACATATTGTTTTTTTCAAATCAGAAGAAGATTTCTGCGGTGCAGTGGAAGATTCTGGGTCCATTTCCATTTCAAAGGGGTTTGCTGTGCTTGCTGGCAGTAATTAAAATGCAGTGGTTTGGAGCCCGTATACACACACGTGCTCTGGGGTGGAGGGTTTGCTGGGAGAGAGTGAGTGCGGGGAACCGTGTGCAGGCGGTTGACTCCTGCATGCATCTCCAAATGCACTTATAATTTTGTACAAATGTTTATGCCAGTCCGTGCTCTTTTGCGGAGAGCTTGTCTCCTGGCCAAAACCATTTCAAGACAAAGTCAGTTTGCGTTTTCCTTAACCTTCTTGTTGTGGCCTCCTCTCTCTCTCTCTCTCTCGCTCACTACAGCTGCTCTCTGACACTGGCTTTGGCACCTGTTTAACCTTTAATTGGTGCATGAATAAATAATGAGAATAAATCTTTTGATATGGACTCTGTGTTTAGGACTAGGCCTTCTCTGCTCGCGATTGCCCTTGCATTTTTCCTTCACACTTTTCATCCTCAAACTAGCTTAGTAGGAAATATTGCTGAATTTATTAATTATTTATTTTTTGAGAAGGAATGCACTATTGAAGATGCTAAATGGTCTTGCAGATGCTGTACGATGTGTATAGGCATCGCAAAAATAACTGGAAAGTTCTATGATTTTGCATAGGCTCATTTTTTATTATTAATAAAAGGAACTCTGAGGGCAGGTTATGGTTTCATCATGTTTATTGGGATATAAATGACAAGTATTGATGAGTAAAAAAAAAACAAAAAAACATTAAGATTCAAGATTTCTTTATTGTCACTATACAAGTAATAGTGAAATTTGAGCAATCCTAACAGTGCAGTCACATGTAACTTAAACATCTGTAATACAAAAAAAGTAATAATAATAATAATAAAGTATGTTATTACTACACAATGTAATGTAGTTAAATTGTGTAACAATCAATTAAATTGTTATAATTGAGAGTTAGTAATTCCCTGTAATGTTGGATATCGTTGTTCTACTGTTTATCACTTTACTCTTTAAAAGACTCCTTCCAAAAATGCTGCCCTGAAAACAAAGTAAATCTCTTTGTTCAGATCGTAAATTTCATATTATGATATTGTGTTAGCTAAATCATTGTCAAACACAGACTAAGGGAATCACAAAAAAACATTAAGATTCAAGATTTCTTTATTGTCACTATACAAGTAATAGTGAAATTTGAGCAATCCTAACAGTGCAATCACATGTAACTTAAACATCTGTAATACAAAAAAAGTAATAATAATAATAATAAAGTATGTTATTACTACACAATGTAATGTAGTTAAATTGTGTAACAATCAATTAAATTGTTATAATTGAGAGTTAGTAATTCCCTGTAATGTTGGATATCGTTGTTCTACTGTTTATCACTTTACTCTTTAAAAGACTCCTTCCAAAAATGCTGCCCTGAAAACAAAGTAAATCTCTTTGTTCAGATCGTAAATTTCATATTATGATATTGTGTTAGCTAAATCATTGTCAAACACAGACTAAGGGAATCAGGCCCTTGTTGAGTGCTAGGCGCTTTTTTTAGTACAAGATCTATGATAATCCCAGTCTTTCACGGTAGAAAAAATAGATAATTAACCTAAGATGCTACATTTCCCATTACAAAGGGATCTGTGTGACTCCCAGCAGAAGACTCTGCCTACTATGAACGCTCTGCCATTAGATCAGATGTGAGCAAGTAAGATCAAGCTGTCAAATCGAACTCTACCTTACTTTTATAGTACACTTGAGATTAAACAGATTAAAGGTTGTGTTTCTGAAATGAGTGTTACTTTTTATATAAATGAAGAATATTTTAGTGCAAACTACTGCTAAGTTTTTTTTGTGAAATATGTATATCAGTAAAAAATATATTCTTTAATATTCTATATTCTATTACAACATTGAGATATATATGTGTTATAACTTAACTTTGTCAAAGAAATAAACACCCTGAAGTTCAGAGCAGAGTTCCTCTCAAGACAGAAGGGCCTTTGAATTCTCGTGAACTTTTCTGTTTTGTGAAAGAGAGCCTGTTGCTGTTTTCTTAAATGGTATTGTAATCACATAGGCTCTGGTTTTTGTGATAATGAGAATCTTCTAGAATGAAGAAATGTTGAAGCTGGTAGCTAATTGCAGACTCATTCTGCTAGTTTGTAGGACATTTGAAAGTTTGGAAAATTTAATGGAAAATTTAGACTCCAAAATCACATCGCCCACAGTTTTTTGTGTGTATGTATGGAAACTCAAGATGCATAAAGCCAGAAGCAAATTAAAGTGACAAAGGAGGTTGGTAAGGAGAGGAGAAGAATGCTGTGGCTGTGTGTCTGACAGTAGTTCAACTGAAGTATT